CGGAGCAGCTGGTAGTTTCGAACCGCTGTCCTTAAGGTTCGCAGCCCGATTCATAACCACTACGCTACCAGAGCTCGGTTCCAGATACACATAGATGTACAAAAAGTACAACTCAGCCCACATTATCACATGTCATATACAAATATTATATCTCAGCACAGCATTATAAAGCACAGTGCTATAAATAGAATGCCCATTTCAGCTACCACCCACCCCATTTGGTGAGTGCAAAACCTCCAGGCAAGAAGCCAACAGAATCACCTAGTCCATTCCAGCCTCCGCTCTCCTAGGGCTGCCGCCCAGCACCACCTCCCAATCCCACTAAATCACGTTCCCCACCATTCATTAAACACGTCTCTGACCAAGGTGCCCTCCCGGACTTAATTACATTGTTGCTTAATTAATAACCTGTGTGAACAGTTACCAATGAATCTCTCTCATTTCTCCACATTTAACATCAGCCACAGAAACCCCAGTGTGTGAGGTCCTTATCTGGAGTTTACATCCAAGTGAGTTTCTGGTGGCAATCTGTCTTTTCCTCCGACTGCACTGTTCTGCCATTTCCAACAACCTCAAGGGACTGTCTTTTAACAGTGTGGAAACACCAAAGTCTGGGTGAGAAGACAGTACGGGGAAACCACTAAAAAGGGAACTCTTTTCCCCCAAGCTTTGAAACTTGAACACATCCCATCCGGAAAATCGGTTGCAATACTGTTTTTAAACTGTCATGCATCGTTCTGGGGGTAAAGATGGGAAAGTGTTCTGTGGGGACAATCAGAAGAAAAAGAGGGGAGGTCATGGGGGCCGCAAAAGGCCCCGTCTACCCAATTTTCAGAATGTTCTTGGATGTTCGCAGAAGAAATCCAAGGCTTGAGAAAATGCCACACAAACGTCATGCCAGTAGATTCCACCCCACCCCAATGCAGCCCTGTCCTCCCTTCAGGTCAAGGAATCCCTGAAGGACTGACTCATCCTTGGGGACCAGGACATCTCAAGACCTTTAAGGTCGTGGCGCTGTGGGTTAATGCATCAGACTGCAAAGTCGTTTTAACTGCAAGGTTGGTGGTTCAAGCTCACCAGCTGCTACAGGGTTGCTATGGGTCAGAATCGATTGGATGGCAAATAACAACATCTCTACTGCAGGCTGAAAAGCCCATTCCTGGCCCTAGCCCCTACTCCAGGACCTGTACCCTGCCCCAGCATCCCTGCCCCGAACCCTCCGTGGCTGGTCCCTCTTACGCCGAGCCCCCATGCCTGCCCCATGGGCCTCAGCCCACTGTCCCCTTACTCCCAGCCCTCAGTCCTCCTACCCATGGTGGCTGTTTAGCACCTTTGCCCCATGCTGGCCTCACAGCCCACCCTGTCCCAGCCCAGTTCCCGCGCCTCCAGCCCTGCGTTCGGCTCCCTTCTCCCCAGCCTCCAAGGCCCGCCCCACTGCCCCAGCCCCCAACCCCCAGCCCCAGCGTTACCTGCCTTCCTGCCCTAGTCCACGCCCGGAGCCCCAGTCCCCGGCCCCACTGACCCAGTCCCGCGCCCGGTGCCCTTGCTCCCAGTCCCCGACCCCCAAAGCCCGCCCCACTGCCCTCCTGCCCCAGCCCCGCGCCCGGTGCCCTGGCTCCCAGCCCCGGCCCTGTCCCGCACCGCGCCCGGTGCCCCCGGTCCAGTCCCCGGTTCCGGGCGGCAGGGGGTGCGGACTGCCGCACCGCATTTCTCTGGGAAAAGTTTCTTCCAGTTGCGCGCGGCTCGGCGCTTCCGTTGGGGGCGGCGCGGCGGCTGGCCCCGGGGC